TGCAGTCCTTGACCTTCTGCAGCAAGCGCTTCAGGTCCTCTTCAGTTTCAGCAAGCAGGGTTGTGTCATCTGCATAACGCAGGTTGTTGATGACTCTTCCACCAATCCTGATGCCCCATTCCTTCTCATACAGCCCAGCGTCTCGGATGATCTGTTCTGCATACAGACTGAAAAGGTATGGAGACAAAATACATTCCAGACAGACCCCTTTCTTGATTTTGAACCATCCAGTGTCTCCCTGCTCTGTTCTGACGACTGCCTCTTGGTCCAAGAATAGGTTTCGCATTAGCACAATCAAATGTTCTGGGATTCCCATTCTTCTCAGAGTCAACCATAGCTTGTTGTGATCCAGAGTCAAAAGCCTTTGCATAGTCAATGAAGCACAGATAGACATTCTTCTGGTATTCTCTGCTTTCTGCCAAGATCCATCTAACATTAGCTATAATATTCCTAGTACCACGACCTTTTCTAAATCCAGCCTGCACATCTGGCAGTTCTCTGCTGACATACTGTTCCAAATGTTTTTGGATCATTTTCAGCAGAATCTTGCTAGCATGTGATATCAATGATATTGTTCGATAATTTCCACACTCTGTTGGGCCACCTTCCTTTGGAATGGGAATAAATATTGATCTCTTCCAGTCAGTTGGCCAAGTGGTTGTTCTCCAGATTTCTTGGCACAACTTGGTGAGCACATCCAGGGAGGGCAACATCTCTTTGTTGATATAAATCAACTGGTATGCTGTCAACTCTTGGAGCCTTGTTTTTTGCCAATTCCTTCAGAGCAACTTGAACTTCCTCCATCACCATAGGTTCTTGCTCATATGTTATTTCATGAAATTCCTGTGTCAGCCAATTCCTTCTGATACAATGACTGTACTCCTTCCATCTTCTTTTGATACTTCCTGGATCACTGAACATTCTACCCAAACTATCTTTAAGTACTGCCACCCGTGGCTTGTATTTGTTTTTCAACTCCTTCAGCTTAAGAAACTCTGAGAGAGTTCGGCCCTTTTGATTTTCTGACTCTAGCTCTCTGCACATTTCATAGAAATCTTCTATTTCCTCCTCTTGGGCTCTAGTTGTTGGTGCATATATTTGAATGATAGTGGTATTCACTTTAGTGTTGATGGGTACCATCGAGTTGGAACTGATCCATAGATGACACTCCAGCAGGTTTTCAAAGGCAGTTAATCAACTGAATGGAAAGAGACTGACCATCCTTCGCCCGCAGAGCAGCTGGTGGATTTGAGCTTCATGCCGTTAAGACTGCAGCACAGCTGCTTACCATTTGGCTACTTTCAGATGCTATTCACTCAATTTCAAAATCACATCCACATTTTTGTTATTTTAGAACAGCACCCCACTGTCATGATACCAAATTCTGTCTTAATCATCTAACAGAGATACTACAACCAACAATAAAGACAAAATCAACATTTCATGTTTTGCAAAAGGGACTCTCTTTTGAAAGAAGATTCTTTCGCAACTAATGGATACAATAACTGCTCTGCATTAATGTTAATAGTATTATTTCTTTACCTTCAACGGAAAAGGGGACTTTCTCTTAGACCAGCAATTACCAAACTAATTTCTGTACTCCTTTCTCATCTCCTATAATCTACAGCTGAAAGTTATTCCCCTTAAGTCACAACATATGACATACAAATAGCACCAGCTATCTCCACAATACTGATTAAGACCAGACCAACTAGTGTAGGTCACGGCCACTGACCAAAACTCTGTAGCACAAAATTAAAAAAAAACAACTAATCAAGGAACTTAAGAACAAAATCAAAGCTCGAGCTGTGATATTTAAGGATGCTTTTGGGCAGAATACTGAATGATCCAGGAAGCATTAAAAGATGCAAAGAGTATACAGAGTCATTTTACCAAAAGGAATTGGTGGACAAAAAAAGAATTTCATAAAACAGTGTGGTGACAAAGAAAGACATAAAAGCTGTTCTGAAGGAACTGGCAAAAAACAAGGCCCTAGGAATTGATGGTATACCAAGTGACATATTTCAACAAACAGATGCTTCCCTGGATGTGCTCACCAAGTTGTGCCAAGAAATCTGAAGGACAATCACCTGGCCAACTAACTGGAAGAGATCTTTATTTGTTCCCATTCCAAAGACAGGTGATCCAACAGAGTGCAGAAATTATCAAACAGTATCATTAATACCACATGCAAGCAAGATTCTGCTGAAAATTATCAAAAAATGACTGGAACAGCACATCAACAGAAACAGCCAGATGTGCAGGCTGGGTTTAGAAGAGGCAGTGGCCCTAGTGATATTATAGCTAATGTTAGATGGATCTTGGATGAAAGCAGAATACCAGAGGAATGTCTATCTGTGTTTCATTGACTATGCAAAGGCATTTGACTGTGTTACCACAACAAGCTGTGGCTAACTCAGAAGAATGAGAATCCCAGAACACTCGATTGTGCTTATGCAAAACCTAAACTTGGACAAGGAGGCAGTCGTCAGAACAGAGCAAGGAAACACCGCATGGTTCAAAATTGGGAAAGGATGTGTCCTATCTCCATAACTTTTCAATCTATATGCAGCACAAGTTATCACGGAGGCTGTGCTCTATGAAGAAAAATGCAGCATCATGATCGGTGGTAGACTCATCAACAATCTGCATTATGTAGATGACACAACCCTGCTTGCTGAAACTGAGGAGGACTTGAAGCACTTGCTGCAGCAATATGGATTGAAGCTCAACATCAAGAAAACAAAGATTCTCACCACTGGGCTGATTGGCAGCAGCATGACAGATGGTGGAGAGATTAACAGTTTTAGTTTGGTTGGCTCTACAATCAATACTCTTGGTACTAGCAGCCAGGAAATTAAAAGACCAATTGCAATGGGAAAATCTGCTGTCAGGAACCTCTCCAAAGTACTGAAGAGTAATGACATCAGTCTGGAAACTAAAGCCATAGTCTTTGCAATTACTTGTATGAGTCAGAGAGCTGGACAATGTCTAGGAATAACAGGAGAATTGATCCCTTTGAGCTGTGGTACTGGAGAGAGCATTCAATATGCATGGTCTACTAAGAGAACAAACAGGTTCATCCTAGAAAGTGTGTGCGAAACCAGGCTGCTCCTTAGAAGCTAGGATTCCGAAGCTTCATCTGACCTACTCTGGACATGTAACAAGGAGGGACTCCTTGAAGGGGGATGTCATGCTTGGAAGGACAGCGCAGGAGAGGAAGAACCTCAATGGAATGGACTGATCCAGTGACTGTGGTAATGGTGGTAGATGTGTCTGAGTTCTTAAGATTGGCACAGGAGATAGCAGGATTTAGGACTGTTGTACATAGTGTTAACTATGAGTTGCAGGTGACTCGATGGTACATAACAGTAACAACAAATAATCAAAGATTAACAGCTGACCATCCAGCAGGTTTTCTGAGGAGAATGTCCATCTTTCAGCCTCTCAGATTAATTTCAACTGTCACGGGGGCATGGACTTTAGCAACTCCCTAACTACTATGCCACAAGAAAACAAACTCCTCAAACTATGTGTAAAAACTCCTCACATTTGACTATCTGTCCCTACTTTAACAGCCTCCTGCAGTCTCCAAGATGGTGAGACCATGTAGGAAGCGCCTAACTCTGTCTCCTAAATTCCACTACATAATAAAACTGCTTTTTCCATTCCAATTTGTCTTAAACATTAGGCAGTTATTAAGTATGCCTTCCAAACTCTTTCCTTTTCATCTCTAAAAAAAATAGAAGGTATTGGCCACACCCTACAAGAAGGCACCTTTACACTGAATTAGGGTTGTGGTGGGATCCTTAAATAACTTAAAACCTCACCAGTAGGTTTTCAAAAGCTGTAAATCTCATGCCCATCCTTCTTTCTTGGAGCAGCTGGATTAGAATACTCTGTGGAGCTGGGGCCTTGTTATGTACCATAGAGTTGGACACCACCCACAGCTGACCCTCTAGCGGGTATTCTAGAGGCAGTATATCACACGGGAAGATGCTGTCCATCCTTCTCCCGCGGAGCATCTGGATTTAAAGTGCAGCCTTGGCGTTGGCAGCGTGATTCCTTACCACTAACCACAACCCACCAAGCTCTCTGATCCTAGGGATCGTCATGTGTACGGTACAGTCGGATCCTCCCACCACTACTGGGTTTAGGGTAACGGGAATCCAGTCCATAGTTTCACATTATATACATGTGAAGGGATACAATTTAACCCAGAACACTGAGTTCCAGAACACAGAGTAAATTCTATGGTGATAGTGATTTACTGGGCGTGGGAAGAAAGTGATGAGAATTGATTAGAAAGCTAAACTTGTAAAATTCGCTCAACTGTGTGCGCTTCACTGCATGCGAAAAGACAGACCAATTAAGGAAGTTACAAAGAGAACCAGACTCATTTAGCGTACAACCGAACTCTACTTCCATTTCGGGAAGTCTGTAGGTGACGAAGGCTCCACTAGTGAAACCCCGGGCTCGGAGAGTGTTCCGAGCGCGACTCACCCCAATGTCCCCAACCCTCAACGCGGCTTCCTGTGACCGGAGGGTAATACACAGAAGACACTGCCCGTACTGCCCTGCGAGGCAGGCTGTGGATTCGAAATCACACACCTTTGGGTTGGAAATGCAATTCCTTACCACTAGGTCACCAAAGCCCCCTTAAGCCTCGGCAAGACACGAAGACCGTGCCGCGTCCTCGGAGACGGACCCTGGGGCCCCAGGGAGACCCACCCCGCGAACCCCGGGCGTCCCCGACCACGTCCACTGCCATCTGCGCTTGCGCCTACGGAGCGCCTCCGCGTTGGAAGTCCTCCACCCTCAGAAGAAAAAGGAAGCCCAGCACGAGGCCAAGCGCCGCCACTCGGCGTCTGCCGGGCCGGCGGCCTGGGTACTTCCGCTTGCGGAAGGAAGAGGCGGAGGGGGCGGCGGAGAGAAGTCGGGCAAGCTCGAAATATGGTCAGGGAAGGGAAGAAAGCGGGGGCGCAGCCCCACCTACTCACCAAGTACAGCTGCTGCCAGCGATTCTGAGCGTCCAGCTCCTCAAATTCCCGCTCGATAGTGACAGACATGGCGGTAAAACAGAAAACCACCACTACCCGAGAATAGCCTCATGCCCTCCCTGTACAGATCCCGGGAACACTGGACGCAGAGCGCGCGCATGCGCCAGGCCTCCTCTCAACCCTGACGCCCCAGGCGCGGACTGTGGGGAAAGTACCTGGAGCGCTACACGTCAACACGTCTACGCTGCCGGAATGGCGGGGCGGGCCAGGGACGAGGCCTGGATGTGGGGGGCGGGGCCGCATCCCCACTTTGACGCCCCTAGCGCCAAGTGCAAGGAAGGTACCCAGTGCGCTATGCTTCAAGGCGTCAACTCGGCCAAGCCAGCAGGGCGGGGCAGGGGCGGGGCCAGGACGCGGGAGGCGGAGCCGCCGTCCTGCGCTGGACTGCTGGGAAAAGTACCTCGTGCGCATCACGTCAGCGCGTTATCGCGACTGAGCTGGCGAAACGAGCCAACCCGAGGTGGCCTGGCCGGCGCTCTCCACCACTGCACGCTAGGAGCCACGTGCGTTGCAGAAGTGAAGAAGCAAAATAAAAAAAAAAAAAAAAAGAAGTGAAGAAGCGAAAGCTCAGGGTACCTGGGTGTGTAAAGGTGCTGGGTTTGAGCGCCACTTGAAGCACATCTCCGGAATTTATCTTGTTACCTGGAGTTATCAAGGTCAGTTAACAAAATTCATCTGGACCCTCGCATGAGCATAACTAAGTGGTCTGGTATTCCCATTCTTCTAAATTTTAGACATAGGCAAATGCATTGTCGATAAGACCCAAACAGACATTCTTCTGGTTTTCTCTGCCTTCACCCAGGATCTGACATCAGCAATGCTATCCCTGGCCCACGGCAGCTTCTAAACCCAGCTTGAACTTCTGGCAGTTGACTGTCAATATATTGTAACCATGAAACTGACCTTCAAATTTTCTTACACGAGCTGGTGACCCGTGTATAGCTGCATCTATTAGTTGAAACATGTCTATTGATCATTCAGTTCCGTGGCGTTATTTTTTCCCAATGTCTTCCATGACTTGACTCAGGCTCACCTTGTCTTGAAAGTGACTTCTGACAGCCGACACCTCGTCCGCCCTGGAGCACAGGCCTCTTCGCATAGTCACCGCCACCGGTTTACACCCGCCACCCCCAGCTCACCATGGATGATGACATCGCTGCGCTCGTGGTCCGGCATGTGCAAGGCCGGCTTCGCAGGCGACGACGCCCCGGGCTGTCTTCCCCTCCATCGTGGGGCGCCCTCGGCACCAGGGCGTGATGGTGGGCATGGGCCAGAAGGACTCCTACGTGGGAGACGAAGCCCAGAGCAAGAGAGGCATCCTGACCCTCAAGTACCCCATCGAGCACGGCATTGTCACCAACTGGGACAACATGGAGAAGATCTGGCACCACACCTTCTACAACGAGCTGCGTGTGGCCCCCGAAGAGCACCCTGTGCTGCTGACGGAGGCCCCCCTGAACCCCAAGGCTAACCAGGAGAAGATGACCCAGATCATGTTCGAGACCTTCAACACCCCTGCCATGTACGTCGCCATCCAGGCCGTGCTGTCCCTGTATGCCTCTGGCCGAACCACTGGCATTGTGATGGATTCTGGCGATGGGGTCACCCACACTGTGCCCATCTATGAGGGGTACACCCTCCCCCATGCCATCCTGCGTCTGGACCTGGCTGGCCGGGACCTGACGGACTACCTCATGAAGATCCTCACCTAGCAAGGCTACAGCTTCACCACCACGGCTGAGCGGGAAATTGTGCGTGACATCAAGGAGAAACTCTGTTACGTTGCCCTGGACTTCGAGCAGGAGATGGCCACAGCAGCTTCCTCTTCCTCCTTGGAGAAGAGCTACGAGCTGCCCGATGGGCAGGTCATCACCAACGGCAATGAGCGTTTCCGCTGCCCCGAGGCATTCTTCCAGCCCTCCTTCCTCGGCATGGAGTCTTGTGGCATCCATGAAACTACCTTCAACTCCATCATGAAGTGTGATGCTGACATCCGCAAGGACCTCTACGCCAACACAGTGCTGTCTGGCGGTACCACCATGTACCCAGGCATCGCCAACAGGATGCAGAAGGAGATCACAGCGCTGGCCCCCAGCACGATGAAGATCAAGATCATCGCTCCCCCTGAGCGCAAATACTCCGTGTGGATCGGTGGCTCCATCCTGGCCTCCCTGTCCACCTTCCAGCAGATGTGCATCAGCAAGCAGGAGTATGACAAGTCTGGCCCCTCCATCGTCCACCGCAAATGCTTCTAGGCGGACTGTTTAGTTGCATTACACCCTTTCTTGATAAACCTAACTTGCGCAGAAAATAAAACAAAGGATGAGAATTGGCATGGCTTTATTTGTTACTTTTTTGTTTCTTTTTTAAATTTTTTAATTTTATTTTTTTTTTGGCGCTTGACTCAGGATTTAAAAACTGGAACGGTGAGGGTGACAGCAGTTGGTGTGGAGCAAGAATCCCCTCAGTTCTCCAATGTGGCCCAGGACTTTGATTGTACATTGTTCTCTTTTTTTTTAAATAGTCATTCCAAACAATCAACATGGCAGTGTGACAGGAAGCTCCTGCCTTTCCAGAAGCCTCTCTCTTCCCCTAAGCAGAAAAGCCCCATCCCTCACCCGGGTCCACACATGGACAGGGGTGGCAGGGAGCATTGCTTTTATGTAAATTATACCTTAACCAGGTTTTTGTTAAAAAAATCTTCCGCCTTAATGCTTGTTCTTTAGTTTTTGTTTTTTTTCAATAGCCATTAGTGGCCCTACTTTTTTTGGGCCCTTTGCCCTTTCCCT